AAAAGTCACACATTAACTATAAATTTGAACATCATTCCACTGTGGTTAAAGGAAACTGTAGTGTTGTACGCCATGAGATACAAACTCGGGCTGTTCAAAATCTGAGCATGTCGGGTTCCGTGTGTGTGTTTTCACTTACCAGCTACTTGTGTCCGTATCTGCATGCTGTCCTGTAGTGCAATCAGTGGTTCTCTGTATTCTCCAGCCTTCCCTGTCAGCACCTCGTCCAGCTTCACTTTCACTTGGTTCTGCCGCTCCCGAAACAACCTGTAATCACACGGTGCAGTCAGTCTTTCCTTCTTTTTTTTCTGCTTTTCTTCATACTACTGAGATTATGTTTCAACTTACGTCTCTTTCAGCTCATGAAACTGTTTTTCCAGATCCATCATCTCATCAATACATTCTCCTCTCCTTCGCTCACAGTCTTCATCGTCCATCTCTTCACGAAGGAGACAAGACACAAACAGTGAAAAACAGAGACATTGCATCTAATCAGGCAACAATTCCGCAAAGCTCTTGGATTTTACCCGAACTCTCCTCTTCTTCCTCCTCTTCCTCGTCTTCACTATCATCCAAGTCGCTCTCCCTCTCTTCCGTGCTCTCCTCCATGGTCTCCTCTCCTCCTGCACCTCCACCATCCTCTCTTGGTTTCTCCACCACCCCGTTGGCCTCAGGGAGCTGTGCCTCTCCTGCTGCCTCCATCTCGTCCTCCGGCACCGTCACAGGCGGTTGGGTGGACAGGCCTGGCTTCGAAACATGTAGACACACTTTAACTATACCACAAAGGTAAAGGTTTATAAGTCAACCAAAACTTGTTCTTTCTCTTGCTGAGCTATTCCATTGATTATTGAATATCACATAGTACAAAAAATGTTTACCATTAGTAAATATTCTAATTAAGATCACTTGATTACATTTATTATTTTTCTTGATAATTTTAATTATCATAAACAACCCTCCCAAATGCTTAAACTCAGATTTGTGATATCATCAAATATAAAGTCTGGAGCTGCTCCACAGACTACAAATTGGGAAAGACGTTGTAGAGGGGAATGTTCTGAGTATATGAGTACATCACCTGCATATAAGATAATTTTATGCGTTATGTTATTGGTGCGGATACCTGTAATGTTGCTGTTTTGACATAATGCTGCTCCTAATAGTTAAATAAGAAGTGCAAACAGTGAGGGTGAGAGCAGACATCCTTGTCTGGTGCCTCTACGGAGTGTGAAACTTTGTGAAATGAGGTTGTTAGTCATAACTGCTGCCCTTGGAGTGTTGTAGAATGTTGTGATCCATTAAATAAATGATTATTAAAAGTCTGCCTTTAATAAATTCTGTTTGGTCTGGGTGAACGAGGGATGAGATAACTGATTCAAGTCAGGTTGACAGTGCTTTGCTGATGATTTTGATATCTGTGTTAATCAAGGAAATGGGTCTGAGACTAGTACAGTGAGTAGGGTCCTTATTTGTTTTAAGCAGTACAGAAATCAGTACTGTGTTCATATGATATGGTGATATTTTTTTAATCTCATCTGTCATTCTGGTGAACAGTGGTGATAGTGTTTGCCAAAAGTGTTGGCTTGAATGTGAGCATGAATGGGTGTCTGTCTCTCTATGTGTCAACCCTGTGACAGTCTGGCGACCTGTCCAGGGTGTACGTCGCTTCTCGCCCAGTATCAGTTGGGATACGCTCCAGCCCCCGGCAACCCTGTACCAGGATACGCAGTTACAGATACTGAAATAATAAATGAATGGATATAAACACACATTCTGTGGGTCCACAAAATCAGTCTCTTATTCATTGTCCATGGGACAGCTCCAGTCTTTATACTTGATGACATCACAAGTCTGACACTTACTTCTCCGGTTTCAAGCTGAGAGAGAGAGTAGCTCATGTTCATAAAAACTGATTGAACTTTCCAAGGCCATGGAAATAAGTTAACATATTTGAGTTCTTAATTTAGGTAGTGTTCCCCTCAAAGAACGTAGAAAGATTTCTTTGCTGATTTAAAAAAAATGTTTTTAACCACCATTTTGTTTTGGATGTCCTTATTTAAAATAGAAACATATAAAATAGCTGCATGAGGAAGTATTGCCATTTATATCACAGTTGCAATACTTGTAAAATAGAACAATGTATGTGTCCACTACTGGAGAAATGCAGTGGGAGCCTAGATTTAAAATAGCTATTTTAGGTTCTTCTTCTTCTGTACACAGAGCAAATTTAAATGAAACGCAACCGTCTTTACTGACAATGTTGATTTCCTTGATTTCACGACTACTACTTACTCATTATGGGTGACACTGGTAAATGACAACACTGCAGCTGGGTGGCAATAATAGTAACCAATGCCACATGAAAGCACACAGAAAGCAGACAGAGGGGAAAACATATTCCCATGTTGGTCTGTTCTCGTTTTATTTGTGACTTGTAGCTTGTTGTGCAGACAGACATTAATGTGAATATACTTACAGTGGAAAGCCCGCGGGACACCGAGCTACCGTATGACTTCCGTATCTCTGTCAAGTCAGCTGGAATAGAACACAGCACACGACCGGAAGTTACCCGACTTTGTTTGATGAAATGCAAAAGAATAAGCAAAACATATTCTACCTTACACAACGTTGGTGACGCTCTATGTAAAATAATTAAAAAGTTGAAAATACAAACTGTTTATTTTCTCCGAGATGTTGCTACACTCATTTACAGGGTTTTTATTTTGATACCTTACCGGATGACTCATTTTAATCTGCGCACTTGACCACTGGCAGCTTCCGTGATGTCATACAGTAAGACGGTGAACGTTATGAACCCGTCGGTGTATTTACACCAAACTAACGTCCTGAGCTGAGCCTGAAGCCATTTATCCTGTCAGTACATTCACATACAACCCCCAAGAAATTAACCGAGACTCGTTGTTGCGTTTTCATGTCAAATTAGCGGCAAATAAAGCCCAGTGAAGTCAAGTGCAACACTAGCTAACAATTGAACCCACACAGCGAGGGAATGACTGCTCATCACATCACACTGTCACAATGTTTAAGTTTATTCAATGGCAGGTATTTTCTCTGCGTGTAGTTGGTTGTTAACAATATAATACGCGTTTAAGTGCCATTATGTACGCTGAGGCATCACCAGAGTAGCTTTCACACTGACCCTCTCCTCCAACTGTACACGGATTAATAAGTAACGTTATCCGTCCATGCAGACAGACAGACAGGCGATGCTGTTTGTAAACACATAACGTTTCCTTTACCGGACAACACAGTGACCACAAGAGTCCGCTCACCTTCTCCCTCCGCTCTGCTGTAGAAAGTTAAAGTATCATTTGCTGTATTTCCATTTTAAAAAGTACTTCCTCCTCACTTCAATCTTCGGTTCGACACTTTGCCGGACTCTACAGCCCGTGAATTCAACCAATCAGCGCTGAGCCGGACTGTTGGAGTGGCCAATAGAAGCGACGATCCCCGAACATCGCTTGTCCAATCAAAAATGCTGAAGCGTGTCTAGAAACCAATCACAGTCCACTTTGGCGCTGCAAACCACCAGAATTAACCGGTAGAGTAGACCTTATAAAAATACCGCGCATCTTCATTTTTTTTTACATTACATTTTTACAACATACATAACATTAAGATCAAAACAAAAACAAAATAAAACATTTTAATACAAAATAAGAAATCTATCTTTCATAGTTATTATTAATGATTGATATTTATCTATAGTGGCCTAGCTGACCTGATATTGGGGGTGTGAATCAAGGCCTCTGTGATGTAACAGACAGTTTTTCTGATCTTTTTATTCATAATATGCATGTGTAAAACACCTGTTGTGTTACATACATTTCAAGCCAAACATCAATAAAAAGATCCAACTACGGGCAGATGATGAGACAATGGGCCCCTGGGCACAGATATGCAGAGGGGCCCACCACCTCTCCTACATAGGAGCAAGACTTGCAGACTTTGTGGTGGTTTTGCGTCTCTTTGTAGTCGTTCTGCATCTTTTTATAGTAGTTGTGTGTCCTTTTTTGTTGCATTGTGTGTAGTCAGTTTGTGTCTCCTTGTGGTAATTTTGTGTCTTAATGGTGTAATTTTGTGTCTCTTTGAAGTAACTTGTCTTATTTTTGTTTATGTGTGTCATTTTTTTTAGACATTTTGTGTCTCTACTTGGTTGTTTTGCCTGTTTTTTTGTTGTTGTTATTTTGTGTATTTTTGAAGATATTTTGCATCTATTTGTGGTTATTTTGAGTTTCTTCCTGGTTGCTAAATATTAATTTGACATCTTAAATTTTGCAAGTGAAGGCCAGGGTTCCCCCTGAAACTGTGGGCCCCTTGGATCCATCCATGGATCCAAGCTGAGCCCTTAACTCCTCCTAAAGTTGTTACTCTAGCAGTCATTATATTAGTGGTGTTAAGCATCATTCTTACATTGACTACCTTGTGATCAGAACATCAGACTATTCAGAGACCACTCCTGCTTCTCAGTAGGGTACAAATGTGGTGTTTGTACTGCAATTAGCCACAAGATGGCACCAACGTAATGCAAAAATGTCTGGAGAGCCACACAAATGATAATGGTGGAATTCATATCATTTGGACAATAGGCCTTTTCATGGCAGACATTTTGGCATGTCACTGCAGAAATACCACAGGTGGAGCTAATAACATTAATTATGTCTGCATTACCTTTCCTCTGATTGTGTGTCACTGACTTACAGTGACACTTAATTGAACAGAGCCAGTGCTCTTGTTATTAATTACACCTGTGCTTAACCTGCTAAGTCCAAATGTCTTCCATGCAAAAAACTATAAAGAGTTTATTTGTGGGGTTAAGTTAGTTTAGTGAATAAATTGCACACTGATGAATATCAAATTCAAAAGGGATGTTCTGTTGAACATAATACAAGCAAATATACTGCGGTGTGATCATCTATAAGACTCTCTAGGTCATCTGAAGCACACAACTGACAAAACCAACAAAGACAAACAATAAGTCCATTTTACATGTTTTTATTAAAGTTGCATAAAAGTGTAACAAAATTGGGCAAAAACAAGACCTGTTGTTGATATTGCTACATTTGTTTGTTGGTTTGATCTAATCATTGTCCAAAAAACACCTCCCCTCCTTCAATCCGCATGGTTTAGCTCTTGTATTTAGCCTCAATGATGATAATCAGTATATATATTTTTTGCAATTTTCCCCAACAGTAAAAAAACAGACTTCTCAATAACAGTCTAAGAAGTTATAATCCAAACCTGGATTTAGAAATGAAAATCCACTCGAATTCACCTACTGATTGAGCTTGCCTGGTACAATCCCATGTTTCCAAAGAAAATGCAGACCGTGCTTGATTTGGAAACACTACCAGGAAGGCAAAAGCAATCGCACCAAAGTGTATCTGAATGGATTTTTCGTTCAACTACATGTTAATCCAAGGCCTGGCATCAAGAAGTGTCATGATCACAATAAAAACAGAGCAGTATTCAAATGGTAAATGTAAAGAACATTGTTTTATCTAAACAAAATCACTGTATCAAGGCCTAAGTATTAAACACTCCTAAAAAAAACAACAGAATCTCATTTTGTTTTTCCAAAAAAAAAAAAAAAAAAGCGACAGAAGATCCGAGATTCTCCACGTGCCGCAGTTCTGCTCAGTAACACAAGTGTTTGCGTTACCTTTTTAAAAATGAATGTCTCCCGTTTATTTGGTTTGTGTAACATAAATAATACCTAAGGCAACATCTGTTTTTAAAAAGGGGGGGAAAGGGGGGGGGGGCTGAAGAAAGGACAGAGGGAGGGAGGGTGGACAAAAGGATGGAAAAGGGTGGAAGGAGGAGGAGAGAGGGGATGCCAGGGAGAAATGACAGAGCAGCAAGATGAAAATGGGCCAGTGTGTGTGTGGATGTGTGTGTGTGTGTTGGCACTGAGAGAGGAAGAGACAGACAGTGGAGGTCTGCTGTCACCGCAGGTGTTAGCAATTGGTTGCAGGAATCATAGCAAACGCTGCTGCTTCTCCAATTGGCCAATGGGCTTCGGTCTCAGCTCTGATTGGCTCACAATGAGAAACAGATGGCTTACTCTTGGAGATGATTGGCAGCTGCAGCAGGGAAACACACACTTCTTGTGACATCTATGGACCTGTCTGTCTCTATCCCTTTCTCTCTCAGCACTTGGAGTGTGAGTGTGTGTGTGTGTGTGTGTGTGTGTGTGTGTGCACATCTGTGTGAGAGGCAGCTGTGTTTACTAATGTGTTTCCTTTTTCCCCGCCTCTAGGGTGGCCTGTGTGTGTGTGTGTGTGTGTGTGTGTAAGTGAGAGAAAGAAAGAGAAGGGTGAATGCATTTAGACAGCTTCAATGTAAAACAGTGGCCTCCCTCCCTCCAGCCGTCCCATTCAGACGTCTCATTGGTGGGTCTACTGACAGGCAGAGGGCAGTGCAAAGTCTCAACAGCAACACACAGCTCTGGAGTTTCCATGTGCGAGTGACTACTCTGAATTGACATCTGCCTAACACAGACAATGTGGCGGACTAAATAATTTCTAAGCTAAAGGGAGAGAAGTGAGACGTATAGAGGGGGGTGGGGGGTGGGGGGGGGTGGATACAAAAAAACAAGGCAGCTTTGTTCTGGGTCCCCCTGTCGGACTGTCAGTGTGTGTGTGACAAAATGCATTCTGGAAAAAAAACAAAACAAAACAAAACAGGAACCAGTCCTATCCTAATAATCAAGTTTGTCGTACAGAACAGCAGAATATACAGGCCAGGAAAAAAACACTCCTATTATGAATGTTGCTGTACATTATGTAGCAACACGTAGCATTTAGCGACACACAGACGCACAAACGTGTGTATGTGCAGGCTGGACAGCAGTGGCTTCTGAAGAGCCTCTCTTACGACTGCACTACGCATTTGAGGAAAGAAAAACACTCTTTTTTTCCCCCCCAAAGACTTGGATTTCTATTCACGCACACCCGACCTAAGAGAACCTACTTCTACTCTAGCCTCAAAGGAAGATTTTAAGTCTAAAATTAGTTGGGCCGTATGACCACCACAGCCAACCAGTGACTTTTTAAAGGTTCAACCACTATTTCCAGGGATCAGATTTCCCTCTTTGTTGCTAAAGATACACCACACATTATTCTTTGTGGTCAGAGGTTCTGATTTTCTTCCCAAAATGACATAGTGCAGATTTTTCAACAGATCCACACACACAAAAAAAAGACAGTCTTTAAATGCACCACTGTAGCAAATGCCTCTGATTAAAGGGGGGGATTATCTGAAAAGACTGTACTGACCCCCCCTATAAAGTTAACTAATTAAAAAACTAAAGTCAAGTGAATATCCCCACGCCCTCAAACTGAACTTATCAAAAGAATCATGGTTGCTAGCAGGATCATTTACAAGTTTAACCCCCTTCACGAATAACAAAATAAGGAATCTCATTGGTAGAGACATAAGCAATGATTAGGCCCTGCTTCAAGCCGATTGGCTGTTTCCACCTTCGTCGTTCACCCTTCCACTCTTCTCTTGGCTGTTGCAGACTTTCTCTCTTTCTCTCTCGTGCCTCTTCCCACTCTCAGCCGCTCCGCTCTCAGTAATTATGGGACTCGGCTCCTCTTCTCTTCCTCCTCAGACAGATGGAGGGTGATATGAGGGAGGGTGGGAGGATGAAGAGCTTGGTGAGGAAGAGGAGTAAAGCCAAACAAAGGGTGAAGGAGGAGCAGGAGTGAAAAAAAGAGAGAGAAGGAGAGTGCCTGGATTCAAACCAATGAATCGCTTATTGCTGTTTTTTTGCATTCTTTACTTTTCCTTCTTTAATGATGTTTTTTTTTAAGAAGGAGGTCCAACAAACAGCAAGGGAAGGTCACAAAAAATGAAAAGTAAAAGCGATTTATGTGGCTGGACCCAGGCAAGGAAGAGATTAAAAGAAAAAAAAAGAAAGGGGTTTTAGCATGGAGGGTGTGCAAAAAGAGGAAACAAGGTTTAGTTAAAGTATTTCATGAGGATTCGCGATGGAAGACGTCAAACTAAAAAGATGGAAAGCACGGTAGGAAGACGAGAGGTGAGGGCTGAGGTGGGTGGGAGGATGAGGGGGGATGAGGATGAGGAGGGACGCCATCATTTCTTCTGAGGCGTGGAGAGCTTCTGCATCCCTCGGATCTTGTCGAGCAGCTCTGAGATGAAGTCCTACGGGGAGACAGGTGGGACAAAACACATGAGGGGGATTCAGAGAACAAAAAATCCGCAGAACATAGATACAGAGGTAAAGTGTCAGAGGAGGAGGATGGGAGACAGGAAGGAAGAAGGATAAATCTCTTACCTCAGTAGGTTTAAAACAGTCAACCAGTAAATCCTGTAAAAAAGTGAAAGAAGGTATTAATATATATCTGGCCTTTTGCATCTGTGAGTCCTCGCATGCTTTGACACAAGCTTATGTTTGTGGCCTACCTTGACCCTGGCTCCCCGTTCAACGTCACTGGGCATATCCAGCAGCTCATCCACATCTATCTCCAGCTCGGGAATGGCCTCCTCCTGTAACAGCAAAAGAAGAAGAGAGGAGAGCACATTAAGAGACACAATCCCAAATGTATTTACAAAAAAAAGTGATCATGTTTGGTTGGGTAACACTGCTGGACTCAAGTCACATGACTTTGACTCGAGTCAGACTCGTATCACAAACATGATGACTTTGGACTACACAATATCAAAGAAGACTTGCACCTCTGCTTGGACTTTTAACAAGACTTTACTTGGACTTGAGCCTTTTGACTTGAGAATACTTAAATACCTTGCTCCAACACCCAGAGATAAAAAAGAATGTTGTTTAAAAAGTGTACCACGAATCAATTCATTTCCTGAATCAACTGACATTAACATTATTCATTCAAAGATCCACTCTGTTTGAACCAAAGAACTACATTACTATGCGGCAAATGATACCAAAGATAAACTGTTTGCATGCAAAAAATATGCAGAGGTTAACAAAAGTTGAATTGCAGTATGTGAACTAGCGGTGGGGAAAAATAAAAACCGATACAGCATAGTATCACAATATTTTTGTACGGCAATATTGTATCGTCACACAGTGCCAAGTGTCGATTTTTTTTAATTCTCTAAATCATTAATATGACAAATACCAATAAAAACTTTGGTAGCCTACTAGAAAATTATTATATAATTATTATACAATTGCTTTTTCAGTCCACTACATACATTATACTGCTGCAAAAAATGGCTGGTGTGAAATGAACAGACTGAAAATTTTGTCTTATTAGATAAAACAGATGTTGAAAAATTTTTCCTTTGGGGAAATAATTTGGGACACATCTGTGACTTGGGACTTGCCTGTCTTGACTTGGGACATGAGACTTACTCCAGCCTCTACAGCTCACTGTCAGAGTGCTCACACATTTTACTGAATCCCATATTGTATACTTTTTCTTTAAACTTTAGGTAAATAAGACACTGTTGCATGGAGTATGCATACAATTGGGATATTTGTGCTTGCTAATGTATCCGTCTCAGTCTGTAGCGCGAACTTTGAAGTAAGAAAAGTATGCAATCTGAAATATGGCAGATCTTAACGTTACCTCAGAGATGCAAAACACAATTTGCTGAGCTTTGCTGCCATTTTGCAATGTTGGTAGTTTTAACTTTTATGTGATAACTCCATACATTGTAGACTCTAACATGCATGATAACAAAATTACGTGTTCCTCTGACATCCTTATGTTGTTACTGTTAATCTATATGATTATCTTATGGCTTCCGTCAGCAGTTAGTGAGCTGTCATCTGTCTGCGCCTCAGTGGATTTGATGTATCTTCCGCTGCACAGAGGACTGCGCATAAGAATAGCCATAAAAGCATGATGGCTTGCATGAATCAGAATGTGAAGCATTACATCCTGGTATTTTTGTATTGGGACATACTAAATCTTTTTCTGGTATACTAAATGGTATGGTAGTATGGGTACATGGATGCAACGATGGATATAAATCCTCACCATTCTTTCTATTCTTAGTCCCTGTGTTTATGTTATGTGGTTGTCTGCAAATTGACCAGCACAGTCTTTTCTGTCTCTGTATGACGTGGTGCGGTGACTGATGAATGTCCATTTGTGAACACTAGAGGGCGGTGTCCTTCCTTTACCCAACATGCTGTCCGTGACCGAAGAGAGGAGAGACAAAGAAACTAGACTTTTTCAAACAGCTAATATTTTTCAAGAATGTCCATTTAAATTCAAAATGAATTTGCCTACATGCACACAGTTTGTGAAAATGCTTGCTCTGTAGAAAGAAAGCAAATTTCCATTCTTCACTTTCAATAACCCACCCATGTTCGCAACACAAATGACAGCTACACTTCAATCTTTAAAATCCCACTGAACATCAGCAGAGGTGGGGTGACTGTGTTTCAACAGGGGTGCTACACTCTGATGAACTACATTAGGCCTGCATCTCACAATAAACACTATAAATTAATCTGCAGACCATTTTCTCGCTTAATATTTTTGTCCAAAAATTTGTGAAAAATGCCACAAGTTTGAAGAGTCCAAGGTGATGTCATCTAATGCCTCATTTTGTTTGACTAGAAGACAAAGAAAACCAGAAAATACTGACATTTGAGAAGCTGGAAATCTTGAACATTTTTGTATTATTACTTTAGGAATTCCCTTTTTGCATTTAATCAATATCAAAATAGTTTCTGTCACTAATCCACTAATTGATGCAGCTCTATATGGAGCCATGACACAAAGGCACACAAAGACGCACACTTTAAACATTAACAGAGAAGAGCAGGACTAAAAAACATATGGTCAATGCTGACACATTTGACTCTATTATTGATACCACCCATAGTAGGTATTTTAGGAAACACATTTGCTTTCTTGCTGTGAGTTAGATGAGAAGATTGATACTATTCTGATGTCTGTCAGTTACAAATTAATCTACAGCCAGCAGCTGCTTAGCTTAGCTTAGCATAAAGACTGGAAGCAAGGCAGATTTTATTATCCTTGGACAGAGCCAGGCCAGTTGCTACCACTTGTTTCCAGTCTTTATGCTAAGCTCAGCTAACCTCCTACTGGATGAAGCTTTATATTTAGCAGACAGATATGAGAGTGGTATTGATCTTCTCATCTCACTCTGGGCAAGAAATCAAAAAAGCGCATTTCCCAAAATGTCGAACTATTGCTTAATACTACGTCGAGAACATTATTGAGAGCTTGCCTGTAATCTGCTGACTGTCACGCTGCTGCCTAAAGTGAAAACACGCTGCTGTAAATCTCAAAAGGGTCAAATTTGCTTCTTTGAATCATTGAAGCTGTTTAGCGGAGAGAATTGGCCTGTAATTCACGTTTAAACAGAAATAGCTGCAATAAAGGAAAATGCACACTAATGCACTTTTAATTTCAGCAAAGCAATTATCGCCTGATACTGATAAGCTGACCTCTAATATGAAGGTTAAGAGCACCCTTGCCCCTAGCGTAGAGATATTTGGCTTATTAAATAAGTAAAAGTGAAAAGTGAGTTCACTGTAAGTTCATCTTTGTCTCTTTCCTTCCCCTTCTCGCCACGCCCTCTCCCTCAGGCCAATCAATTCCTTTTTCTGATTAATCTGTTGCTCTATATAAAGTGGTTTAATAGTCTCCCTCTCTTTCACTGTTTCTCCATCTGTCTCACTCAAACACACTAGCTCAGTGTGTGCTATCAAAGCGGTTCACCACTAGCAACAGCACACTCACACACACACACTCGTACAAACACTCGTTTCCCCCTCTTTTGCAGCTCAATTGCTACCCTATATTCATGTCATTCTCTAGGAATCTCGCCCTCGCTCTCGTCCTCCCCCTCGGTTAGAGTTGCCCGCACCAGCTGTCTCTGCACCTGCCCAACTGCCCCCTACTCCATCTCACACACACACACAATCATGTACACTCACAGACAGACAGGCACAGCATGCTGTGTGTGCACATTCGTGTGTCACATTAACCGAATGGTGCTTTTTTTTTTATTTTCAAGTGGCAAGTCCTCAACATCACACACATCCTTTCTGTTACACACACCTCAATCACACACACATGGATTAAAGAATTATAAAAATGAGCATTAATAAGTCTGAGCTGGATGAAATGTGTGTGTGTGTGTGTGTGTGTAAAGGGTGGGGTACGAGGATTTAATTCTGAGCAGGACAGCCTGTGTGTGTGAGATAGAGACTGGAGGTGACAGACAGACTTACTGTCAGCAGAGTTAAACACACACACAAATGGACAAGTTGACGCACAGACAGCAGCAACGCAGGAAAAAATGTGCAAAAAATACACACACACACACACACACACACACACACACACACATACAACACAAAGTACACCCAAAGTACACCATTAACACACTTACTCACAGACATGCACACACAAAGACACATAATCCGGTATTCTTACAGAATTTAAAAATTAAAGCTCCGACAGACAGACAGACACAAAGGTGCACACATGCTCGCACTGCAGACATACTGACGCTGTCTGTTATTAACACTCACACACATACAGGCTGTTAAGTCTGACACAAAGACTGATCTGCACAACATGTGGGCTCCATGTGCTACCACATGCAGTAAAGAAAGCTATGGCACAAAGCATGAGAAAGGCGTGAAGACAAAGGAAACGATACTGGATTTTTTTTTTATTACTATAACTGCTCAGTCATGTGGCGAGAGAGAAAATCAACATTATTTTTCAACTTTGTAGCTCATCATTTGTCATATTAACAGCATTTGATTTCTATTTTGTATCTCTGTGGCGGTCTCACAAGGTAAATGTAATGTACTAATTGCCATTCCTGAAAAGCGATACACTTTGGCTTCCATTTAATACAGCTAATACAATCATACAGAAAATGATTTGAGAGACAGACTGTTAAAACTGCCGGGGGGGGGGGGGGGGGGGGGGGGGGGGGGGGGGGGGGGGGGGGGGGGGGGGGGGGGGGGGGGGGGGGGGGGGGGGGGGGGGGGGGGGACCAAGAGGAAGGAAGGTAAGAGGTTAAGGAGCACATCGAGAAGAGGGAGCAGCTGAGTGGAGCGAGGAGAGAGGGAGAGGGAGGGAGGGATTTTGAAAAAGGCCGGAAGATGGGCTTCAGAGAGGAGACACAAAGAGAGCAGGGAATCACGAGGGAGGATTTCCAAAACAATCTTCCAGACTGACTTACTGAACTAGTCTGGAGTCTGGAGGGGGTTTGTGCTGTTGGCTGCAGATGTGATCTGGACTAAAAAGTGCCTACGAGATATTGGCACACACTGCAGGGTTGTAAACAAAGCAGTGCAGTGTGGGACTGTTCAAAGAGGAAAATCTGATTTACCCTGAACCAGGAATCTTCTCAGTACAAACACAAGACATCAGCAGTTTGGATGTTTGATACATTAAACACATCACTGTGCAACTTTATAGGGATACATGTGCAAGTAACAGATAAATCTGGGGAGGAGACAAACACAAAGAGTACAGTGTTGCTCTACCAGGAGCCTCCAGAAGACC